GATGAAATGAACACAATTAAAATGTTCTGCTTATAAATAACATATAATGTTACTAATATAAAAATGAGCAGAGCTACCATAGCTGTGTAACGGTGGGGACACATTGGACTCAGTATGATTTGACTCACTGTGGCTGCCCTTTAAAAATGTTTGCTACGTATTAGTTCATAAGAAGCAGAGCAGAGAGTGGCAGCTAGGCCTCTGATACATACAAGGCCATAAGGAAAAGGATTATTACATCAAAACGATTCCTAGGAAGGTGTTTTATAATCAAAATTAGTAAATGTTCAAGTCATTTGGATTTTTTAGTGAAATGAAATGAGAAGATTTATGAATTAAGAACAACTAGCATCTGTAATCAGCGAGTTTGGATGTATGTCACTTCCCCTTTAACTAGCTATAGCTTTGCTCTTTTTGCACAGTTTATTCTTTGGCTTCATCTTACTCACACCCAACCCTCCACCTGCTGTGCCTCCACCTGTCCTAAAGTGGTGTTTTCTTTGAAACTTATATTTCTATTACAAAGGCATAATTTAGATGATACAGGAGATCCTTTCTGCTTGGATCAAATTAGAGAATAACAATTCCTAGAAAATGGAGTTAGTGGTAATTGAATACAAAGAAAGAGTTAAGTTTTCTAGCAAACATCTGTTTCTAACTGGAAAAAAAATTTCTTTTGCAGATTTTTAATGAGTATTATAGAGCAATTTATCATCCACTTAATCTTCTAAGACTTCATGAAACTCCCATTTAAATTAATATTGTTTAGTAGAAAGAGACTTCAGTCCGTTAATCATGGATGAAAATAGATCCAGGCATAGTGGAGATGAACATAATCTGCTCAGTCTTCCATTCCTCCCTCTCCCCCTACAGAACATGTCGTGTAATTGGCCTACAATTTTTATTTCATTTTTTCATCATCCATCACATCTCATTCATACTCTGAGAGTCTTGTTTGCTTTGGTTTGCTATTCAAACAAATGTCGGCAGAGTTTACTGGAAAACTGGAACACATTGCAGCCCTTCAGATCATTAACTATGATCAGACATTTTGCAGCTTGCAGTATATTCACTGACTAAAAATTCTTGAAACGAGACCTAGTATGTTCTCAGACCTGCTAATTTCTCTCTTTGAAGATGAAATGAGTGACAAAAACAGAAAAGAAAGATATACTTATATGATATATATATATATATATAATTTTATAATATAATCTCTAAAAACATTCATTTAAATATCTCTTAATGCTTTTGGCATCCTTCTGGAATTGGCATAAAACACTGAATCCTGAAATGTTTGGTATCTTTAGTAACTTGACATTTGTAACTTGTGGTTCCTTTTTATGGAAAGTACCTTCTGTCTCCTCCTATAATATTCATGAAACCTGCGGTTACATCAAACCATCCATGCATGTAACTTATATTTGGTCATTTTAACTACCAAACTGCTTAAAACTTCTAGAGACTCTATTCTTTTCTAATAGAACTGACTCCCCCCATTCGAAAAGAAAACAATATACCTCTTAGATTTATTTTTTAATGTATCATTTCAGAACAGCATAAGTGGTCTAGCCAATTTTGACAAAGAGAAAAATCTGTAAAATGGAGGAAGCATTATCTTTTCAACAAATGGTACTGGTTCAATTAGAAATCTCAGGACAAAAAGAAATTTTACCTTATCTAAGCTTCACGGAAAAATGAGAACTAATTGAAATTAAATCATAAATTTTAACTAAATAAACAAAGCTAAAAATTTTACATGGAAACACAAGAGAAAATCTTCAGCAACTAAGGCTAGGTGATGAGTTTTCACACATGACTACAAAAGCACAATCCATAAAAGAAAATATTCATAAACAGGCCTTCCTCAAAATTAAAAATTTGTGCCACAAAAAAGCCTATTCATAAGTTGAAAAGACAAGCTACAAAGGGAAAGAAAATATTTTCAAATCATTTATTCAACAAATGTGATACATACAGAATATATAAATTTTTTAAGTTGAAGAACATAAAAATAAATCAATTAGAGAAATGAACAAAAGGCACAGGTATTTCACCAAAGAAGAGGGATATATGGCAAATAGCACACAAAAATATATTCAACATTACTAATCTTTAGGGAAAGGTAAATTAAAATTGCTATGATTTATTCCCACATATTTACTAAAATAGCTAAAATAAAAATAGCTGTAATAATAAGTGCTGGTGAAGATATGGAAAAACTAGATTTTTAACACATTGCTGGTATAAATATAAAATAGTAGAACAACTCTAGAAAACAGTTTGCCAGTTATTTATAAAACTAAGCATACATTTATTCTATTACCCAATAATTGTACTCTTGGGCATTTGTCCCAGAGAAATGAAAATTTAAATTCATGCAAATACCTTGGGGTGAGTATGCATAACAGATTTATTTGTAATAGCAAAGCCTGTGAATAATTTAAATGTCCTTAAATTCTGAAAAATTGTCCAGAAATATTACATGAAAATCATTTTTTCAAAAGAAATATATGTATTTTTTCCTCAAATACTATTACACCCTTTTATAACCCTACATCTTTCTTATTACTCATAGAATGAAAACTATATTGAATTCTAACTTGGCTCTTTAATCAAATATCACTAGTTTAAGGACTGCTGTATGGTATTTATTTTGCTCCTTTTGTCTGAAAAATCATGTCAGTAGTATATAAGATGCCAGAAGATTTAGTAAGAGTAGCATTGACATGCCTGGTGCTCTTTGTGGAAAATTTCATTATAACCTCTTCCACCAGATATGATGTTTGAGCCTAACTCACAAAGGAAAAACATCTATTTTTATCCAGCACAGTAGACAAAGAAAAATGTAAATAGTATAAAGAGAAAAGAAGAAGACTATTTTTCAACTTGGAATTGACTTCTGAAATAGGTGAAGATTAAATATTAAAACAATTGTTTTTGCTCTAGCCATTTGTGTAGATCTTTGAACTGAAAAGGACCACAATGAATTTAATACAAGAAATTGCATTATGACAGGAAATGGGGACAGGATTTGGGCAAAAACAAATTAGAAACAACTAGGAGTTGAATACTAGTTTGAAGGTTATTTGGCTAAATGATTATCATGAGCAAGTTATTTAATGTGCTGACCTTGTCTCATCTTTATACAGATGAGAAAACTGTAGCCCAGAGAAGTTGAAAGATTTTCCTTTTATGTATAAAACCTAGATTTCTTTTTATTTTCAGCTAATCCAAGGCACTATCGGCAATAATAGTCCATCTTACACTGTCTATCAAGAAGTTTATATACCTGGCAAGAAATACTAATTTATTGCATTTATTAAGATTATATTCAATCTGGTCAGTAATTCTAGCTAGTATTTTTATGTTTGTATGGGTAGCTAAAATGGGGATCTGTATCAGTTGGTCTGAATTGTGCTATAAAAACATGTTCAATCTTAATGGCTTCAACCAACAGAAGGCTATTTATAGTTCATTAAGCATGCCCATCATAGATCATTGGAGCTTCTGCTCATCTGTTTATTGTAATTACTTAGAGACATCGCTTGACAGTACAGCCTTCATCTCCAACATTATTGGTTGCCATGTTATGGAAAAAGAGCTCAGGGGGTTTTATCTTCACATTTAAGTATTCCAGTCTGGAAGGGACATGCACATAGTTTCTGCTCTGACCTTATTGACCAGGACAAGTCTTGTCACATGGAGTCACCTGTTTAACAGGGAGCCAGTGGTAATGCCATAAATTCACTAGAAAAGGGGATAACCATTTGTGGTTCAGCAACAATACTCATAATCACCACATGGCATATGAAGTATTATGTCTCTGTCAACAGTCGATACATTTAAAGAACAAATAATAGGAAAACTCCTGTGGATAACATACTGTTTTATTAAATTTCCAGCCTTAAAGAGATACTAATCAGTCCTTTGGGTTAGCATATAGATTGTTTCAACTTCAGTGTTCCCTATAGGCATATCTATTTTATCATACAAAGTTTTGGCAGCTGTAGCTGTTCTTGCCTATGTTTCCTGTTCATTTCCATGCCATTGTTTTTTTTCCTCCCAAAACTCTAGGGACAGATCTATAGATTTCTTGATTTTTCTTGCTATTCTGCATATTAATCATTCTGACAAACTTTTGGCTAGTTACTTTTGGCAGATCTGTTTGATTCTCTGTCTAGTTACTCCCACATATTTATCATTTGATTACATTAAAAATAGTAGTATGATATCATATAGAGAATTAGTAAGATGGTACTAGGAGAGAGGAAGTAGATTAAAAAATGGGTGAGGACAGGATGATGAGGGAAATGGTGGGGAAGGGGAAAACAAAAAGGCAGTTTAGGCTGGGGTTAATTAGAAATTGCAGAATTAAATTGTTCTACTATTAAGATTAGCGTGCTAGTTGGTAAAGAACTGAATGATCTCTGCCAGAGTAATAAAAATCATTGGTTTATATTTATCTATCCTGCCTATCTTACTTATAAGCAATGGCATGTATTTATCAGTATTCATTTCATTCTAAGAAGGTACTGGTCTCTTAGTGGGCAAATCAATACCGTGATTCTTCTATTCTTTATCCCTGCTAGGACCACTGAGCAAAAGGGGTCTGAGTTGTAGTCTCATAGATTCAGCCCCTACAAAGTAATGCCATTACTAGATGTCATTCAAACAAGCCTAGTAAGGATGCTCCCTACAGAAAAAGGCCCCAAATTATGCTACACTCCTTAAAAATCTAATGGGAAAATTACCAATAACTAAATCAAGTTTAAATCCACCCATAAACAAAAAGGAATATTCTTTCATTTTCGGTTACTATTGTCTTTTCATTAAAAAGTATCCTCTCTCTTTTTTTTAGTTCTACAACAGAATCATGATGGCTGCCAGTTAAATATTTTTATTAACAATGCTTCTTCAGGGTGGGACCTTCTATTATTCTAAGGACTATTTATCTGTAATGTGGTATGTAATGTATTAATGAGAATATTTGTTTGTAGGTGGTTGAAGTTTGAAGAAGATGTGGAAGATGGAGGGGAAAGGTGGAGCAAGCCATACGTGGCTACTCTTTCATTGCACAGCTTGTTTGAGTTGAGAAGTTGTATTCTGAATGGAACTGTGTTGCTGGACATGCACGCTAACACCTTAGAAGAAATTGCAGGTATATCCTTTTTCTCTTTAGTCTATTTCATTCTCATGGATTAATTTGATTTCTATTATTCTCTTTTCCTTATAATTCCATATACATGTGAATTTTAAAATATAACTTTTTTTGATAAGTGTATGGGCCCCTGGGTTCTTAAAAGTTATTCTCTCCTATCCCTTCATCAGAGAGACAAGAAGAATAAGTAAAATCTCAGAGGAATACAGTCTAGCTTGCCAGTGACATGTATAGACTGAGAACTTGGACATTCTGACCACCATTCAATATTCATTGTTTTTTGTTATTGTGTTTGGACTATTACTATTAGAAAATTGAAGGAAAAAGCATTTTCACCTAGAGAGTGATTTTCCAATATTTTAATATAAGAAATAGCTAAATGAAACATTTTAGTAAATAGGAAAATTATTGGTTTGGAACTGACACAGAAAGATGCCCATTTATCTTATTTTTAAATTTTTAAAGAGAAAAAATCAAAGCAACAATTAAACAGAGTTTCAAAACAGGTTAGTAGGAGAGTTACAATAATAAATACATTGTATATTTTTGTCTTCCTAGTAGTTATTCAGAGTACAAGATATAGGTGTGATATCTTGTCCAAGCAATATTAGCACAAACCTTTCTTTTTAATGAACTAAGAGAAACTAGCTGTATAACTATCTTAACTGTCTTGTGTATAAATATATTTTTTCTTTTTCCCTTTCTTCCTTTTCCCTTTCCACCATCACAGTTTGTCTCTTCTTTTGAACAGTTTCTTCCCAATTCACAATATCTATTGTATGTTTTGGATCTCATTTACTTTTTCAATTTCTCACATTAGTGAGACAATACTATGTTTACACATGTGGGTCTAATTTATTTCACTTATGAGTGTGGTCTTGAGTTGCATTCAACCATTTATTTTAAATTGAATTAAGACTCTTGCATTTCAGGGCTCGGTATTTAGCTCAGTGGCGTAGTGCCTGCCTGGCAAGTGCAAGGTTGTGAGTTCGATTCCTGGTACTGGAAAAAAAAAAACAAAAAAAAGGACTCCTGCATTCCAAGGAAAGCCAAGTGATACAGTTGATATGTGTTTCATAATTTGATATGATGTCTAGTTCCAGGATGAGTGATTTATATTTGAATCTTGGAATTTATTGACTATCTAACAAAAGCAGTTATATTTATGAAGTAAATCACTGCTAGAGAAACAGAGTCAAAGGACTCCTACATGTTTTGATATTGAAGACCAACATAGTACAGTAAAAATAAAATCATATAAATATGCAGAAATTGATTTTGAAAGTATAAATGAAGCGATTAATGGAAAATTTGAAAAACAATAAATTATGAGGCAGATTTTTAAAAAAAATCCTACTTTAGGAAAAGATACTTCTATTAGGATTTATTTATGAAGCCAAAGGGCTTAAAGGAGGCTTCACTATTTTAATTATATTGTAGAGATGAAAAAAAAAAAACCTCAGAACTATGTGTGTGTTTCTAAAATCAGAAACATGGACAAACATAGTTTGTATTTAAACTATAGAAAAATGTTTGTATTTAATTATTGTTAAAAATAATATGTCTAATTTATTCTTTCAAATAGTTCCATGTGGTAAGTGTCTATATTATTTTCCTATTGCTGGGACAAAAATACTTGACACCCACAATTGAAAGGAGGAAAGCTTATTTCGGCTGAAGATTTCAGAGGGTTCAGTCCATAATCAATTGATTGCAAAGCAAGAAAAGCATGATGGAAAGATATGACTTTAAGTAAAGAGTGGCCAAAATCCAGAGAGAAGACCCAAAAGGGAGGAAGTGGCAACAACAATTCATCCTTCCAGCTTATGCTCCTAGTGACTCACCTCCTTTAACCAGGCCCTACCTTCTCCTAGTACTTTCAGCTTTGAACACATCAAGGAATTAATATTAGGGACATTTTCTACATTGCCAGTTATCGGGACCCCTTCAGTGAGTCTCCAATCTCCTGCCCAGAGTTAGGGCATAAGGCGGGGGAAAAAAGAGCAAAAGACAAAGTAGGGGTGAAGGCGGGGATCAAGCATGACTACTTGTTCTCAGGTCATCCAGAAACTTGGTTTTTATTCATTACATCTGAGTCATGGACAATGAGTGAAAGGCAATTGGTGTTTCCGGGTAAAAGTAATGGTGACTGTTGGGCTAGTGAGAAGAACAAAACATTCTTGGAAAGACAAGGACAAGCATGGAATGGGTTCAGGGAGGAAACTGTAGTTTCCCCAGATGCCTATTGTCTCCAGTGGTCTTATCTTGAGCTGAGAGCCCACAGCAGTCATTAGCCCTCTGCCTTCCTGCTGTGGCCAGAAAAGACTGGGAAGTTTTCTCCTTCCAGTCAGGCTCAAGCACAGGACAAGAACAAGCATGGATGTCCCCTAGACTCAGTTGGTAATTTGTGGTCCCCACAGATTAAGCCCCTGATGAATATATTGCCCTCATGATCCAATCACCTTCCACAAGTCCCACCTATGAACACAGGAGCCTATGGGGGGACATTTTAGATCTGAACCTTAACAGTGAAGTTTCCAGATTGGCCCAGATTCTAAGGGCTTCTGATTTCTAACCCACTGTTCCTTCTCTTATACTGATATAAATATACTGATCATTCCAAAACAAAGTCTATGTTATTTTCCTCTAGATCTGTAAAACACTAGTGCTTCAGAGCCTGTGTACTCACAAAGCACTAGGTTTAGCGACCTTAAACATAAACACTTAAATCAAGTTGTCTGAAAAAAAAGAGGTGTCATGAAATAGATGCTGTTAAAATTTTAATAGTTTGATCAATTTAAAATTATTTATTGTGGCTTTTTATACTCATATACACACATGCATTAATGTATATGTAAGAAGAAAAACACATATAGAAATATATCTTTACTCCTAATATTAAGGAACCTCCCGAAAGGAAACCACAAAACACCCCAAACCAGGAAAGGTAAACCTCAATATTCCTAAGTTTTATATACTACCAAGAGATAAATAACCCTTTGAAATATATGTGTTGTGTAAAAGACTGCATAAAGTTAAATATAGTTTGATATTCAGAAAGCATACAGGCAACAGTGACAGTTGGCATTAAATCATGACTTGAAATGTTTAATTTAAAAATTAAGAAACTTCCTAGGAATGAAGGAAGAGTAGCTATCCAGCTCAGTTTGTTACTTTTACATTTTAAGGTCTTGTCCAATAGACAGTTTTATACTTTGTTTAGAAGTTAAATGACTGGGCTTTTCAATTTAGCTTTGAAATTTAGCAACCTTTTCAGGTTGTACCATTATCTTTTGATACTCGTGAAAAACTTATTTTGATATTATTATTGTTATCCTAATTTCATAAATAAAGAAGCAAATATTGACAAGGTTAAAGATTTGCCCTGAGAAATTTTTGCTGCTTAACTCAGTGATTGCATTGTATTTGAAAACTCATTCCTCTAAAATAATTTTGCACTGACTATATACAACAAAGCTATCAAATTCTTCAACCTGGTAAAATTAGCCTCAGAGCATACTCTTCATTCCTTACCAAGCTTTGATTTGTTAATTTGTAATCCTTCCTTAGAAGGTATTCTTACCAGGAAATCTCTCAGTAATTTGACTAAAGCTCTGATGTTAGTTTAGTTTTATTGCTTAAAATGGTGTTTTTTTGCTAAGGCCATAGCCTCCTTGCTCAAGCTCAGTGTAGACTGTAACAGTTAGCTATGTTAAGTCAAGCTTTTTCGAGCAAATTACATTGCTTAAGTCTATTCTTAAAATGAAAGTAGTTCAACTGAAGCTTAATACCCCAGATAGCTTGTTAGTACTCTTTCTGCTTTTCTAATTAATCTGTGTCTTTCTAACGCTGAAGTAACCCAACTTGGATGTCCCATTTTTCAGCCCAGAGCACCTTGTAAAATGCCTTTTAGGATATGCTAGTATTTCACAGCTAACAACACACAGAAAAATACAATCATAAATATTTGTGTTGATCATTTTTACCTTAAATTCCTTTTCAATAGTTAGAGATTCATTCTCACTGAGCAATTACCATTTGACTATGTAGAATAAGATATTTTTCTGCCCTCAAAAATCAAATTAAATATTTTGTCCTTGCATTTCACAATTGCTTTCCTGTTTATATTTATTGACATCTTCATGTTTCAGCAATTGAGTTGTAATATAAAATGTGTAAAAGGTATGCTTCACCTTTTAAGACTTCAAGTTTTGCTAAGTATTCTCTTAAACACTATCATATTTTGTTAACTGCAATCATAAGGTAGGAAGGAGGCTATTTCTCTGATTGAAAAGAAGGATAAACAGAAGGTAATATACTAAAGATGACATTTGTAGGAAGAAAAAGATGTGTTTTGATTAACCTATAACAATTATTATTATTCTTGTTATTGTTTTTCATACTGGGAATTGAACTCAGGCAGGACCTTGCGTTTGCCAGGAGGCACCGTGCCGCTGAGCTTGACCTATAATTATAGATTTTGTCTTGTTTTGTGATCATTTGGGCTATCATGATTACCAATAAGAACTGAAACTTTTTCTACATGTCTTTTTTGTCATAATATTTTTATATGTTAGGAAGTTATCAACTAGGGACATGTGTTAGTCACTAGTTTTAAGTTTCCAAAAGTGGATCTAATAGTTTATGATTAAGGACACTAAACCTAGTTCTTTGGGAAAGCACAGTATCTGAAGTGCTAATGTTTTATAGGCCTAGAGGAAACTAACCTAGATACTGTTTTGGAATGATCAAGTATTTTTATATCAGTGTTCTGATATGTTTTTAACAGACTCAGAGAATTCCTTAAAGAGATTTTGGTAGACTTAGTAGCAGAAAATCCCATTTATATCTGGCAGTTCTGTCAAGAATTTCTGGTATAATTAAAGTAGGATTTTCTTTTGGATCAAGTTAATTTAAAATATATCTATTTCCCAATGTTTCAAAGAATTCAATAAATCTAAACTTCATCCTTCAAAATATTACTTAACCTTTTCAAATCC